GTGGCCGGGCAGGACCCTCCACGGACCAGCCCCAGGGCGTTCTGGTAGGAGCAGCCAGGGGTGATGGGCAGTGCTGGGGATACTGGGAGGGGCTCGGTGTGGGGCCACTGAGAGCCCTGCATGCTGAAGGGCTGCAGTGGCAGTGTGGGAGGTGGACAGGGCCCTGTCGCCTCAGCGGAGGGATCCCTTGGAATCACAGAATCATGGAATGCTTTGGGTTGGAAGGGACCTTAAACCCATCCCTGAATTGGACAGGGACACCTTCCACTAGACCAGGTACCCCTCAGGCCCAGCTCCACTGCTTCTTTCCCTCTGTTCACTCCTCATTTGGCTGATTTGGTGCCTTGCCAGGTGCCAGCGGTACCAGCAGTGCCACAGCCCTGCCCAAGGGCTGGAGGGCTCCAGCCTCCCAGCCAGGCTCTCTGACGGGAGCTGGGACCACCAGGACAATCACCCGTGGATGATTTGGGGTTAACAAGTGGCTCCTGTAAAGGAGAAGCAAAGCAAGAGCTGAGATTATATAAAGGGGGCTGGAGGCAGCTGCGGCACAGGCTGTAATTAATTCCTGGCACTGAGGAGCTTTGAAGATCCAGGGTGGCGCGGTGCGAGTGTGAAGCAGCCCCAGGGTCCTCAGGATGCATTCCTGCTCCTGCTGYAGGGGTGCTGCGAGGGGAAGAGGGCAGCAKGGGGGTTRAGCACTCCACGGCCCCGCTGGGAGYTGGCTCAGTGCTGTGGTGGCCCTGCAGAGCCTGTCCTGCAGATCCCTTCTCCCTCTCAAATTCACATAGCGGTGACAGCTCCGAGCAGACCTTGGCAGGAGTGAGGGATGGTGGGGTGGTGAGGATAGGACAGCACTTTGTTGAGGCCAGGGACCGCTCAGGGAAATGGAAACTTTGTGTTAGAAAAACTTTTGTGCCCCCCAGTAAAGCCAGAGATTCCTTGCTTACAGAGCATCCCCATACTGGGGGCGCAGCTTGGGCTGGCTCCATYCTGGATTCACGCAGTGCTTGAAGCAGGGGCCAAACCATGAACATTTAGAGGAGTCAGGCAGTCCTGCCCGCCGGCCTGGCATCCCTCCTGGCAGCCCCAGCACTCGCACCGGGAGCAGTGGAATGTCCTGGTGCGGAATATCCCCCCGGTTTGGCCGCAGCCCCGGCTGGCAGCTCGGGGCYCTGGGCAGCCCCGGCGCTAATTGCCTGGCTGAGGCTGATCCTCGTTAGAGCAGCGGTTTCCCCATGAGATCATCTCAGCACGGCGCCTCCTGCATCCCATCCCTGCCGGGAAGCACAGCCAGAGCCACGAGCCACAGGACACGAGCTCCGAGCGCATCCCAAAACGGGCTGGAAGGCGCCCAGCCCCGAGCGATGGGACCCGGGAGATGCCCCCGGGCGATGCCGATGGGGGAGGCGAGAGCGGGGCAGGGATGTTCTTTACCCTGAGGTGACACGGAGGTGACACGGAAGTCTCCCAGCTCTGACTGCTGCTTCCCTGTCCCACGGCAGTGCCGTCGGCGATG